CACAAGAGAAAAACGATATTAAGTAAGGTTAATGAAAAAGTACATGTGCAAATTCTTACATTTCAGGGTCCTTTGGAAAGCTAAATAATGCTAGGTCTGGTATTTATGCGATCTTGAATTGGCACGGACGCAGACTGCCGCAAAACACCACTTACACTTGCAGGTGACTTGCGACTGCCGACAGCCGCCATTAGCTTTGTTTACCGCGCCTCGTTTCACAATCAGCTGGTGACCTGGATACGCTAAAAGAGGCCTCGTTTCCTGTCTCTATATTTTAGTGTCTCTGGTCGCACTCTTAAAATAGTGCTCGGTATTGCGCGACAATGCGCGATAGTACCGAACGGAAGTACGACTTGAAATAAACAAACCTAGCGGATTTTCTAAAATTACAGAGACAGAAGCGTCGGCCTACAAAAGCGATCGGCGAAAGAAAGAAGTTTAGCTTTTTGCAGCAAAACTGTCGCAAAACTGAAAAAAACGAAGGGGGTCGTGATCTGGAGAATTTTTAAGAATATTTTGTAGAAAACCGCATGTCGATCGATGCAGCCATTAAAAAGCCTTTTGAATAGCAAAATTCTGCCACCACAAATAGATAATAGATGTAATAAATGTGCAGGGGCGATTCTTTTACTGGGCAAGACTGGTGGCGCCTGTCACATTTTGTTGGCTGTAGAGTGGACAAGAGAACGAATGCTGACGATACTAATTTTTTTTCATTTAGTTTCAAGTAAATACACATTGATATCTAATCAACGTTCAAAAATCCCTCGGCCGATTTGTATTAAGCCGCTCTGAGAGACAAAGGTGGTTCTTTGGTGTGTTGTCGCACTACAGAGAATCGTTCTTTCGTCTTAGTTTATCACTCCGGCTCGTATGTATCACGATGTGAAACTTAATTTGATATGTGTCACGACGTGATGGAATCAGGCGCTCGTCAATTTATGGGCATGTGGAGTTATTGGTATTAATTTAAAACTTGTTCATTCGTCTTGCTTTTGTTGAAAAAAAAGTACACATCTATCAAGAATACAAGTCGAGATAATTTTTTGCGATTAAAGATGGTGGTATCGTTTGGTTTCAGATGTAAAATTGGCGAGAAAATGGCCGCCATAGTTTGGCGACTTCCAAAGCTTAAGAGACATTAGAGACTACAAATTTACCTTTTTGTGCCTTAATTTAAATTAACTAACTATTTTCATTAAAGTGCACATAGAAATGTGTTTTTAAATGGGCCTTAAAGGTGTTGAGTCAAGAAACAAAAAGTCGACAAAAATTGCCCAACGGACAGAAAAATGCCAGTTTCTTCGATTTCATTATTTTGACGAGCGCCTGATTTCACCACGATGCCTCACATTTTGATTACGCGAGACCTTTCAGAACGCCGCCCGCCCGGCGGTGACGTCAGTCAGCCTGGCGAATTCAGCTGTTGACTTGTGCGGTTGGCCGGTGCTCTGATATAATGATAAACTCCTTTTTTCCGATAAAACATCTAACGTCCGCACCTTTCATCCTTTTGCGTGCGTGTCAATGTGTGTGTGTGTGTGTGTGTGTGTGTGTGTGTGTGAGAGAG